CAAACATCTTGAGGCGAATCTAATGTCCATACTGACAAGGAATGCATTTTAAGACAAAAAAACACTTGATAATAATTTCAAGAAAATTTAGCGTGACATCGCGCATTAATGTTATTTTAAGTAGCTTAGAAGGTTATTATAGGAAAATTAAAACAGTCACGTTGGTTTCGGTATCCTGCTTTCACTAACTTATTCACTCTTCATATTAAGTGTGCATTCTCTGCACTTTCTGCTTTAAAATTCGTGTATTCTTAACACTGAGAAATTGGCGTTGTATCACACTATATCCTTTTGTTGATAAATTGGTTTCTTCCTCTCGTGACCTTTCTGCTTGGCCATGTATTGATATTGATATGTAAAGAAAAGTTCACCCTTATAGTCACTCCTACAGGAGTGAAAACGTTCACATAGATTTTAGAGATTTTCTCTCAAGATTTGTACCAACTCCGAGAACAACGATTAATCTGATTTTCAAGCATTATAAATCTCGTCAAATTAAAAGTTTTTGGCCGCTTAGTGAAATAGTCTTGATCGTTCAGTCAACTCGATGAAAGACTCGGTCGAAGTTGATCCATTAAATGTGACCTGCATGAAATAAAGCCAAACGCAGAACTGAACAAACGACATGATAAGCAGACATCCGCCTAATGGTCTTCGTCTTCTGTCGCAAATCTGAAGTATGTTTTACAGGATTAAAGTTACGAATTTCAGGATTTAGTGCAGGAATTGGGATTAAAGATTACCAGGGATAACCTTCCATGATTGGGTGATGATGATTAATTAATTTGACGGCGTCGTTGTTCTCATAAAGTTTACCTTGTCCTCTTGAAAGTCAGTAAACACAACTTACTCGGAAGCATATTGCTTCCATGCCGTGAAATTAAACCTGGAGAAGTAATCGACATTTATCTCAGGCGAAAGATGAACTACACCAACGATGGTTTATACAACATCGCAAATTCCACCACAGAGCAACCACGCGACAACACAGTGCAGACACTTCAGGTCATAGCAGTAACTCTCTTAATACTAATTACGTTCCTAGGGACGATCGGCAATATTTTGGTATTTAAAGCGATTTTTAGCCTTAAAAAGAGAAAAATCAATGATTATCTCATTTTAAATCTGGCGGCCACTGATGCAGGGACGTGCCTTGTCAGCATTCCATTAGATGCTGGGGAAAAGATGATCGGTGAATTCCCGTATGGAGCTGCACTCTGCCACGTTATTTATCCTCTTCAGTCTGTTTTGGTGTACGTGTCAGTTATGACGCTTTTATTCATGTGCGTGGATCGTTATAGACTGATCGTAACACCACTGAAGCCGAGAATTCACCTACGAACTGGAATAATAACAATTGTTGTTTTTTGGCTTTCATCTTGCTTGATCGTACTTCCTCTGTCGCTTGCACTGAGGCTTGATGGGTCACAATGTGGAGAATTATGGCCTCGTTCTTACAGTGGCAAAGTGTTCACCCTCACTATCTTCACCTCTCTTTACGCGATACCTCTGCTTTTAATGACCGTTCTGTACGCGTTCATAGTCAGAGCATTGTACAAGGACAAGAACTCTCTAAGGCAATGGACAAATGTCTCGATCAGTAGCCGGCGTTCAGCTTCCCTGCCAACACAACGAAATCTTAAAATCGTCCACGTGTTTGTTGCCGCTGTCGTGGCGTTTGCCGTGTGCATGTTACCAACGCATGTGACGTGGTTATGGCATGATTTTGGAAACGGTTCCAAACAACCTGAGCTCTTCAGCAAGGTTGTCACCTTCAGCAACATTCTTATGTATGCGAACTCTATTGTCAACCCCATCATCTTCGGGTCTATTGACTTGAAAATTCTTGCGAAAATTTGCAGGGCTTTAATTTGCCACCAATCGCATGGCAAACACCCTCGAGTATTTGAAAAAGTGTTTGTACTACGCACTACCTCTCCTCTTCCTCCAATGAGAAGCGAACGACGTTCCACGTTTAGTTTAGTGTTTAACCCTAATGACAAATCAAAGACTAGACCTTCGTAATCTAGAGGTAAAGTAACGAACGCTACTTTAAATTTTATATCAAGCAAAAGCCAGCAACCATGAAAGCGTTTGTCCTCGGTGGCAAGCTACAGGAAGACATAAGTAATTTTAGTTTCTTAACATCTTGCTGATCAGTTTGCACAGTTTTATACCGACAGAAAGGCGTATCACCTGCTAAGCGTTTTTCTACAGTCGTCAATTCCCATCTACTGAAACAAAGGGGAGTAACCTTGTGAAATGGCTCACAAGAGACCAACACGCTTCAAAAAAGTATCGTTGTGGCTGAATTAATTTGCATACTTCTGGTGAGAACAAGCAGGCCAGTCCGATGCGTTCAGACATTCAGACATAAAATTCCATTATTACGTAATCAGAACTATCTGACCATAACGGTTAAAAAAAAAAAAATGTGCCATATTTCACAGTTTGAATTAGTGATCAGCGCCTTTGGTTTGCTGATTCTTAATTTATTTTTGGACTTTGGAAAAGAGACCAAGACAGACGCTGGCAAAAGCAGAATTCACAAATTCATAACTTGAGACCGTGAAGTCTCCGTGCTATCTGTGATGAAATGCTGCATGGTCCTGTTATTTACAAGTCTCAAGACGTTACCCGGTTAATCTTTGCAAGTTAGAGAGGATTCTCTTCTTTTTATGTTTTCCGTGCTTGTAAAATACGTCCAAATAGGAATTAACGCGTACAAATAAAAAACTGAACCTCCCACATTTCCCCCTCGTACTGACGCGGAATTGACGCGAATTGACGCGGTTTACATTTGCACCACTATTTTATGAAACTGATCATTTCTTAAAAATGTTTTACATTTAATTGATCGATTTATTAGTAAGTATTACAAGACCATTCACCTTTCATCAAAGTTTTCCTCTACCGTGAAGCAATTTCGGACAATCTTTAATTAAGAGGAGGACGCTGTTCTATAATCATCAAATGGTAAAATCGGAAATCGTAGCATGACCTCTCTTCAAGAGGCATGGACGTGTAAAGTTACGCTATCTAAAGTCATAAGTAACACTACGCTTGTTGAACGTTTATAAATTGAATTATATTTCCCGGAAACATTTCCAAGTTCTCCAAACCGCGAGAGCTGTAAGGAAATCTAAAGTAGATTTGAAATAAAGATTTCCACTCGTCAGCTTAAGCCTTGACTGAGGTTTGTAAAACACTAAAAACGCTTTTATTTTTCTAAACATCTGTAAAGACTCGTTCACTTGATGTTTTTATGCAGTGCATGCAGTAGCCGAAAGCATTTTTTATTGACTCACGCAGAGGACAAGGGACTCTTTGTCCTGGGCTGCCGAGGTGGAGAATGATCTACCATGTACAAGTTAATGTATCGTCATCGAGTTTCCGTTACAAGCATAAAGCAACGCTGCAGAATTAAAACAAGGTCGACTTGACTGCAGAATACCCAGCCAAACTGCCTACCTTCCTTGCAGCTGGCTATGCGCTATGCAGAAACCAGTTCTTACAAAGGGTTATTACGTAAACACGCTTCTAATGAGATCATTTTCCCTTATAAAGACAGACTTTCCAGTGCTCACATTATTTTTAAAGCAAACTGCTGGAACTTTGGAAAAAAAACCGGAACATTTCAGGGCACTAACGAAAAGTAGCCATTGCGGACCAAAATACCTTAACCACCCCACCCCACCTTGAAGAAACGACTTACTTCCCCACCTTTCCGATGATTCTTGCCCAGATCTCTCTGCTCACAACAAGGAAGGCGATTGGTCTATATATGATGCTTTGCATTCAATTTTCTCCAGTCGCCAAATGGAATGTTTTTACATGCCAGAGAGGGTACCCTTTTCGACCACACTTTGTATCTCAAAAGCAAAGGACTAAGGCTATGGTCATGCACATCCAAAACGATCGCAAACGTCGGGGGGTCCGATGTGAAAGATGCCAAAGGCGCACCCATATTAGTCTCTTAGCTCTACACGTAAGAGGCTAGCATGGCCATGCCCTGGTTATCTTATGAGACCCCGAAATCCATGACTTGCACCCCCAGGTGAGAAAATATGCTTCCGCAGAACTCACGCGTCTTGACCCCCAAACTTCGTCAGAAAACTGCTGTGAAGCTTGATACCCAGATGTCGGCTCGGTGCACGAGAGGAATGGATCCCTAGACTTCGTGCTTGTTTTTCACAGTAGCCGAACGAAGCGTTTGCCAAAAGCCAGATGGGAGTGCCTTTTCACTGTGAACCTCAACCTCAACCTTAAACTCACCCTCTACGTAACAAGCAAGCAAAAAACTCCACTCTGTTAAGGGTCATCCAAATTTTCCATTAATAATTATGGTCAATCAGTTTTAAAAGGAATAGAGAAAGTCACAAGAAAATCTAAAGCGTACATTATGTAACACTTATTCTAAAAAGGACCCTGCCATAGACAGCGACGTTGAACTTTGGACTAAAGCGGCACTTTACTTTGACTTTCTGCACTCTCTGACTTAGACGCGACACTCACATGGTTCGATTTCCGTCAAACGGCTTGTGTCAAAAGGTGACACTTAAATCTATGATGTACAACACGCAGCATAAAACGATTTGCGGTAGAATTGTGTACAGGGCATAACAAGCTTACTTTTAAACACTTGGTTACAAACCAGATCGGGTTTCCGTCAAATGGCTGTTGCAAGAGGAGAGGCTTGAGCATTCAAAAATTAATTGCTAAACCGTTCAAACACTGCACAGACAGATGAGGTACCATGGCATATGTGGCATGATGAGCTAATTTCAGAATCAAATTATGAGCGCATTCTAAGATCGAGTAAATTCAAAACTATGACGAATACATCCCTCAAAGTGGCGCTTGTTAGCAAAACGCAAGAACTCTTAGAGAAATTATGGGATTTTTCATCTCGTTGTAGTGTAAGTTTATTTCTTGTAACCTAAAATTGATCGGATTAGGTGTGACATTACAGAAGCACAATAAGTGAGGAGAAGGAAATTTGGTGCTGACCTCTCACTGCTTAAATTTGGCAAAGAAGACAAAACAACAGCCATAACGAAATGTTTCCAATGAGTACATTTTTAGATTAAGCACTCCGTAAATTTAGAAATATGACGCTTGATTAGAAAAACACAGGACCTCTGAATCATAGCATGGGAATTTATGGAACCTTTCATCTCCTTGTAATTCAAGTTTAATTATAATCATTTTTTAATCATCATTTGTGCATGCAATGCAATAACTTTGAATCTACAGCTACTATCTATATCTATCAATAATATTTTTTACCCATATCTCTTCGAGTTAAAGCACAGCGTGAAATGAAAAGCACTGTGGAAATATTTACAAAAAAAGTACTGATAATAGAATAAAATAAATGTTAAAAAAAATTTTAAGTAACGAACAAAGCTGCGGCAAAAACCGCCAAATAAAAACACTAAGGCAATAATTAATATTTATAGCTCATATCTCTTGAATTTAAACTCCAATTTAACTTATATATTATGTATATCTTGGTTTTTCTCATAAAGTTTCAATACATACTAGATACATCTGAAATAAATAACAATTCTTAAATAAAAGGCTCTAATTCATTGATTAAAATTACTTCAAAAAGATCTGAAAGAATCATTTTTACAACCGATCATAGTAAAAGGCCAAAAGTTATTGGCTGAAGGGGTTTTCCCGCGCTTTTTGCATATGCTTTGTTGGAGCAGTTATATTGCAGTTCGTAAGGTTATAATTTGTATCAGTTGAGTAAGAGCGCTTTCATGTCGGTCAGTAACTCGTTTAGAAAGTTCAGACTAGCTGGCCAATAAGGAGCCGCTATTGTAATAAATTTTTCAAAAGGGAAATTCTTCAGTGTGTTTAAAAGGAATTTAAGCCCGATGAATCATCGCAAGCCAGTCAGTTTCACGTAAGTCTATACATAAATACTTAAATTACGATTTCTCTCAAAAATGGCAATGGTCAGGAAACTCAAATCATCACAAAGAAAGAAAGGAATTTCCCAATACTCTGCAGGCACCCTGTTCTACATGACTTGCAAAAGTAACGGCCATTCGAAGAACTAACTAGACCTTTCTGGCTGAGTTCCGCCACAAAGCTTATTTAAATTTGTAACAAACGTAAAAATGTAAACTTTGTTTAAGCTCTTGTCTAGGGTTTGTTTCAAATGGTATGTCATAATGTTACTTATCATAATAATTTAAAATATTTCACAACTATTGTTAACCTCTCTCTCCACTAAAACTAAACCAAGGGAGTAGACAAACGGGACTTCCCTTCATGTGCAAACTAAGGCTTTACAACTTACAAATCCCCATAACTTCCAGCTATGCTATAAAGTGGTCTCTAAAAAATTCGCATCAGTTCTTCGCGTGGTCAGAGGCTGGTCTGCGGTGGAGCATGAGTGCTGGAGTATCTCTGAAGTGGCTTGTTTAATCGGCTTTCTTTTTCGCCTTCCCCCGCGCGGTTTAACAGATCCTAGTAAGAATTCCTCTTCTTGTGAAATATGAAGACCCGAATCCGAAACCGAAAACCGAGACTCGGGGCCCGATGACTCAATCGACCGTGCCTTCGGTCTCCGGATAGCATCGCCATTTAAATGACAACTTTGTTTAGAGAAAGAGGAATTTTCTCTATTGTGTTCAAGGTCACCGTTCACATGGTCGTTGATTATCCGAAAAGTAAACTGTTTTTGTTTACGATGTGGACTATAAGGAGGAAGTATTTCTCCAGATTCTTTTCCATCCAACGAGTCAGAGGAAAGATTACTTCCGTCCAGATCTGGAGACGAAAACTGAGTCTGATACCGTTGTGCTCGTGGACGAGGAAAATTCCAATACAAAGATGAAGAAAAGTTCGCTTGAATTTGAGAGTCGTACTCGTAAGTTCGCGGCGGCTTCGGCGGCGGTTTATATCTGAAACTCTGCCTCCCCTCGGACCTTTCTGTCTCGAATGTTCGTGGAGGTTTAGGAGGTGGAGCCCCGTTTGATCGGGGCGTACAAGAAATATTTGTCGAAATTGAACCAGAAGAGGTAGCCTTACTTGTATCGTTATAAAGTTTCGTGAATCTTTCTGAGGTTGGTGACTCAGAAAGGTCTGTGTTCGCGCGAGGACGCGGATGAATGTCTATGACAACGTTATCAGTGCTTTGCTGGACAGAAGGAAGTATGTAATTAGCCCAGGTGGCGGAAACCCGCGAAGATGGTGCACTTTCTTCTAAATCGGAATCCTCAAAGCCGCTTTCCGGGCGCGCAATCGGTGCTCTACGTGACTCTGAAGACAGCGCAGCTACCCGCCATAAGGGGTGATTCAGTTCTATTGCACGGAAAAATGAAAAGAAAATTAAAAAAAAAATTAATAAGCCATCGATGGAATACATGAGGTCTTATATATGATGACCACTTTTTTTTTCACACGAGAAAAACGAAAATTGATAAATTTAGGTAGATGAAAAGGGTGGCCGACAGAACTTGCTACGATAAGAAACAGCGGAGACGAATGAGACATCATACAATAGGAATTGTTGATACAAATAATTTTCGAATGATCCAAACGTAAGGCGGTCTGGCTTGACGGTTCACTTTCAACTGTAATAACGATGTTCAAGTTCTAGTGGCATGACTGTGAGACGAATGATAGGAAAATAGAAACAAGCATGAACAAATCCCTTGTAGCTGAAAAAGAATTTTTTCTTAACTTGCCCTTATGCGCTTGATTTTAAGTGTTATTTGAAAACTGCGCAAAAATTAAGGATTAAAAAAACACACAAAGAAGTTTGCAGTCAGCGAAAAAAACTTCTTCTACTCCCAACTCTTCCCTCTAACAGTAACAAGAACGAAAAAAAAGAAAAGTGAGAAGGAAACACAGAAAAGCAAAGAGTGCGCTCGGTGAGAAATGAAATAAAACAAGAACTAAAGGGTGTAACACTGATCACAGTCGCTTCCTCCACAGCCGAAAAATAAACAAACAAACAAGAAAACCACATACTGAATTCACGATAAAAAAAAAACAAAAATTGTCAACAAACGATTTTGAATCAAGAAGCAAAGCAACGTGTCTAACTTTAATAAAAAATAAAAATTGCCTATCAATGATTGCAAAAATTCATAACAGCCACGAGTCGAGGACAAATTATGAACAGTGTAAAATCAAGGGAAATGGAAAAGAATACAGTTGTGTTTAATGTTATTGTAGAGAGTTTCAGTGTTTAATTTTAGCCTATATTTGGTTTTATTCTTGTGGCTAATTCAACACGGGAACGTCCCGCTGAATACGATTCGAAATTAAAAAAAAATTGATTCTCTCGTGGCTTCATAGTGCTACATTTTAACGTTTAAATCACGCTAGTAATGACTGAAGTTTTATCAAGTTACACTGTTAACCGAAAATAAATTAGGCATGCGGAATATTAATTTACTCTCCAGGGATTGATAACTTCAGAGAGCGTAGGAGCATGCTCAACTTTACCTTGTCTAAACTGTAGTTACGCTGATTTCAAAGCTGTCGAGGCTTTGTATATCAGCAGGAACGTCAAGTCCAACTTCTGTTGTTTAGTCAAAGAAGAAACGAAAAAAACCAGAGTTTATGAAGAAAAAGAGAAAAAAGTTAAAAAACAGAACCGTTCAGTGGAAGACGGGAAACTCGACGTAAGGATTTCATGCAGCAAATGTACATAAAAAGAAGGATTTACGAGACGACTTATTCTGATATGAGCGTTAAACACTGAGCTCGTTACCTACTATGGGTTAGAATTATGCATGTTTGGTACGCGATTCCGAGGTAAATTATTTAGTTGATTAATTTTTCACTTCAAGAATTGACAGCTTTCTTTCTCTCAATTTATGTGAGTGTTTCTTGTTGTTACTGAAACAACTGTCAGTAAGCTCCTTTCCTCTAAGATGCGCTGTGTTAAGTGTACTTTTTTCAGCGTTTTTTAAGGTCATTTGTTGATCTACCTGCACCATAGGTTTCACAAAAAATGTTCGTTATTTTGAATGATTTGCAAATCAAGGCTCAAATGAGCAGAGCGAACAAAAGAATACAAACAAGCACAGATAAAAAAGCAAACAAACAAGAACATAAATTAAAAAACATATAAATACATCTGAATGTGTTATCGCAAGAAATCTCAGCTTGCTCCGGCGGAGAAGTAAATACACTAAAAAGGCAAACTGCTAAGGGTACTAGCAACAGCCGAAGTGCAATAAAAACAACAATAACAACAACGACGAAGAACTTTAAACAAACAACCCATCAATTCACTACGATAGAAATTACAGTTCCACATAAGTGCATCAGGTTAGGATGACTGGTGCCATGGTGAAAATTAGAGTGAAAATAAACTGAACCACAAGTTACGGCAGCTGACTACAATAAAACGACCCAGCAGGAATAAGACGTCAGACGAAAAAGCAGAAAGGAACGGGAAGAGAGTGCGAATTAGTATCAGATGTTATCTGTTTATACGTCGAGATAGCTCGTTATCCGGGAAGTAAAAGGTAAGCCAATACTAATTTTTACAAAAAATAGAATTGGAATATGGGAAGGGATCATGATCTTTACAAGAGAAAAATGGCATTGGACACTTTCCCGTGAGTTGTATCTTTAATGGACAAGGAAAGCACCCTAGCTTTAAATTTGAAGGTTCAGAGGAGAGGGTAAGATTACCAAATACAGCAATTAATGAATAAAAGTTACAGAACAATACCGAATAACATAATTACCGGAAGGGGCTTAAGAGAGTGTGATAACAATCATACAGGGTCTTACCCAACGCCAGCGAGTCAGTAGAAATAACTCTCTCGAGTACTTCGTCATCTGTATCATAGACCGCATTCGCTGAAGGAAAAAATGGACAGAAGGGCAGTGAGTAGAAAACAGATGACTGCAAATAAGGTCGTGTTTCAATACTGGTATCTACACCACGTAAAAAAAGAAAAGGAATCCGTGTTTCCGGAAGTTGCTCTAAATGATGGCAAGCTCTCCTTTTAGACTTGGCTGAATTCATATATTACTGATTTAGGTTGCCACGTTAATACTCACGAAATCGAAATAGTCCGCGAAAAATCACATTAAGTCGGAATCAGAAACATGAATATTGTCATGCCTGCCTGCACGATTTGTATTACAAGCTTCTGATCAAGTGTTCTGAGGATAGACCAGTTCACGATCTTTTGGAAGATTCTATCATTTCTATAATAAATGCATGCTTTGACCTGAATATAAAGTCAAACACCATCTTTGATTAAGCAAAACCCCCTTCCTCTCCCATCCCTCCCCTCCCCTCTTCCCCCCCCCCCCCCGAGCTAAAATACCGTGTCCTAACCCTTTAAAACCAGTAATAAATGTTCATGTACCTTCTCGAAGTGATCTTGACGCAATGTGATTATTTTGCTTATGAAAGTGATTAGGCTCCACAAATCCTGTAGGAGGGACCTCTAGTACGTTAGGAAATGGTGGATCTGGGGCTGAAAGAACACTCTCTTCCTGTTCCTTGGAGGGAAGGCACTGATTTAGCGCCTTTAGAACAAAGTCTGGCATGTGGTCCTCCCACATAAGGCCTGAGATTTGAATCGTCTGGAAGTCCTGTAAGTCAGCCCAAACCGGTTCGAATATGGTCCCCTTCCGACCGCATCGGCTGTGAACAAGAAACAAATAAATGGTAAAATAACAAATCACAATTACTGCCGGTTAGGCGGGCAAGTTGGAGACAGACAGATAGACAATCAGACAGATAGACAAACAGACAGATACACAATCAGACAGATAGACAAACAGACAGATACACAATCAGTCAGATCGACAGTAAGACAGATAGTCAGATTAATAATCGGTAGGTAAAGTCTACTAGCGTTTGATTATTAAATCATCTTTAACTTACCCTGGAACGGACACAGTTTTGACCACGTGAATTACTCTTCCAGGTGGAAAGAATGGTGGTGTCTGAGAGTTCTTGTTGTTAGGCAACTGGAAGTGTTCCCAGTCTGCCTCACTGTCTCGTAGCTGAGCATCACAGTTGACACATCTGCACCCATAACAGCACACGAATGCACAACGGCAAACGCATCCACGTAAAATCTTCCACTGCAACAAAGAAATATTTACTACTGCGAAAAAGACCTATTTTTTTATCCTCTCTTGTTTGGAATTAATTCAGCAAATCGTCGAGTAATGTCATTTTTGAAAAATGATAATTTCTGTCTTCCCCTCCCCCCTTCGTATTCTTTTTATATCTGCTCGCGGCGCGTGTAATTTCACAAATTAACCAATCGTTAAAGAACTATAACCCGGACATTGGAAAATTGACGTGGTCACTATTTCGAGTATTTTTGTTATTTGTTTTCACGGAGTTAAGTTGCACGAATTAGCTACCCTTTGTTTGGAATTTTAAGAACTTCAAGAGTTTTTATTTAGCCAACTGTTGTGGTTCATTCAACAAATGTAGTACATATCTTCTACGAAGTTTGGACTCTAGCCTCGTCTTTCGTAAATGGATTTTTTACAGGTCCTGCAGGGGGTACCTCTACTCAGGGAACTTCCTCGGAACTAAGAAAAGACTCCTTTAATGACTACCTCTTCAATGAGGATAACCGATAAGAAGGCTATAGGCCCGCTAAGGCCATTGCTACCAGTAAGAAACTTAGATAGTGTCTGTGAAAGAAGGTGTCGCCTGGATAGAAGTGTCCAAAGAAAACAGCTTTTTTATATTTACAGGACTGCCGAATAGAAGCAGATAAACGATAACCAAATTAACCCTATAACAAAATGGGGATTAGCCTCTTTAAATGGATAACACGACATAGAGGTTTATATGAAAACGCACCAGTTGTATTTTCATCTAAAATGAAATAAAAACTAGACATTTTTATAAGAACTAGGCGTTTCTAGTTACCTTACCTTTGGAGTGGTGGAATATTTTATCACGGCCATTATCTTGTTCCGAAGATCCTCCATAGTGTAAAGACTCAATCTGTAAAATAATGTTTAACTCATCTCGCCCATGACTTCTCAATCACTCAGCTACTGTGTCGACTTGTAGATTAATTTTTCATACATATTTAGCAATAATACATCTAGCTTTCCCAACTAGAGTGGTAAAGCATAAACATAGAGCACAAAACGCAATGTAACCTGACACTCCACTTGTACTGGCCACTTAGCCCCATACAATATTAAGTTGAAACTCGATCAGTCATCCTCAATAGTCAACTCTCGATTCTCGTTGAAGCACAAATATCAAGCGCTAAGGACCAATTCGATAGAAACTTTTAGCTTAGATTTCGTGGCATTTCATTTAGGAGCAATTTTTCATTGAATGTCGAAATTAATTCGGGATTGCTTTGGTTTTGCTGCGCTCCGCTCAATCTAAATGCATCCAAACTTATAAACTCGTGAAGTATCCCACCACAAGGGTATCCTAAAGCACAGTATCACAATCAACTACAGGATCTTCACGAAGACATCAATAGCGTAAATTACCTTGGAATCATATCTTTCCCAATGACGACTGAGATGACAAAATCACGGACATACTTTGCCGCCGGTAGACTGAAACAGCAACCATAACATTTTTATAAATTACGATCGATCAAGCTTGTCGGTGCACTGAAGAACCAGTTTACAGTTAGGACAAACAAGATAAATGGAAAGGGTTCTAAGAACGTTGTGAATGCCATGATTTTATGCGTGAGCGAGTTGGCGCGGGCAAGTTGGTCCGTGAGCGACGTGATCGGATACCCTAATAAGGCACCTCTCCCCTGTCGAATCAGCCCCCTTTGTTTCAGGCACCGCCTGTCTAGATCTTCAAATTCTCCTCTCCTCTTTAAGCCCCAGCCCCTCCTAAACCCTCCCCCTGTAAAAAAAAATCCTAAAATAAGAAAACAGGGTAAATAACAATGCTTGAGTGATACTAAGCAAATGGTTATGACGTGATATTGACATTCATTCAGGCTAGGTAGCGCTTCAGCGTAAATTATGTGTTTGCTTGAAAACCTGTAATAGTCTAAGGCACAATAGCCTTTTAAACCAAGGAAATGCATTCTGCTTACGATAATCATTAAAATTTTGTAGAAAAGTAATGACTCGCATTTTCGCTTTTAAATTAATTCAAAATTTGACCTTTCCTCTTCCTATCCTTCCTAAGACAGCCTCCGTCTGAGGGTCATACAAAGTAAGCCCCGAGGGAATATTACAGCATTTACGGTGAGCGGATAAAGCACTTGTAAAATGAAACCATGTGAGCACCTCAAGGTGGCTCCGGGTGGTGAGAAGGCATAACAAAAAAGATCCGGGTAAGACGGTCGCAGTAACATGGCCAGAATAGCTGCTGTCCCAGCACCGAGTGAGTGACCGACCACAATGAGGCGATACAATTCAGTGTGCCTCTCCTGTAGTCAAGAGAAAAAGAAAAAGAAAAAGAAAACATTACCACTGACAACAAACTCTAGAAAAATTGTAATTTTTGTCCGAAAACTCTGCAGTTTTTTTAATTCTTCATATTCTTCAAAGAAATCTCCCACCACCCGCTCAACCAAGCAACTTTAAACTTTAGCTAACGAGTTGACATTCTTGTTGATTCCAATGATTCCTCTGAGGAATTCCTTTAAAGAGCTTACAGTTGTGGAATTTGTCATCTATTTCTAGCGGATTCTTGCTTTTACGTTAAGCTCTCACCACCCGATGAAAAATACTCTTTTCATTAGTTCAAACTGATAGTTTTGATTAATTCTTTTGTTGTTTTACGACACTCAGTGGAGTTGCGCTCTGAATCATCGCAATAAGGTTGACATATCGTATGCGAGAGACGCGGTGGGTTGAGGTGAAGGAGTTTGGGCCAAGCCCTGACAGACATTCCTTTGCGTCCCGGGGCAAAATAATTTCACATTATAATGCCTCTCTCCACCCTGGAGAGTAAACAGGTACCGGCGAAGTTTCTGCAAGGAAACCTGACGAAATCCGCGGGGTAACTCTGACGGAATAGAATCTTATCTAAGAACAGGTGTTCCAAGCTCACGTCTCGAGAAAAGCGGAAGATTACTTTTCGGACAGGTATTTATTTATTCGTGGAAGAGTCACGCGTTGTGTGACGCGGTGTTAGTTTCCGCGAGGAACTGTTGAGAATTTGAACCCGTTATAAGGAATAGTATGGGGAACGAAATATAGTCGATTTACAACGCCAAATATTGCGAAATATGAACATTTTACATTTTAACTTACATTTAAAGTAAGTTTAATAAAAATTACTCACTCCTTGTGTGCCCTTTGTAGTTTCTGGCGACCTCTATCGTTTTGTGTTTGCTTTGCCATCACTGTTATGCATGTCAAGGAATCGTCCTTATTTCGTTTCCCATACAACATACGATTCCTCGTATAAAGCGTTCAAATTTTCAGCAGTTCCTCGCGTAACCCCACACCGCGTCACACAACCCGTGACGCTTTCATGAATAAATACATACGTTTCCGAGAATTAATCTTAATCTCAAGGCCAGGCTTTACTCGAGAGATGAGCTTGGGACGCCTGTGATCAAAGGGGGAGGTATGATACTCACACCTCATCTCGTCATGGGAGCCGAGATACACCCCGCCACTGGGGGCTAATTACGACTCGAACGATGTCTTCACCTACGTTGTATCCCTCAGTATAATGTTAATAAAACAATCAACTAAAACTGCATACCGGATCAGAATGAAAAGCTTGAGCTAAATAGCCAGTCTCCAATTTTTTCTTGAGGTAGAGGGCAGCTCTTATCATGCCCTGAAAAAATGAAGATAGAAGAGCATACAAGTTCACAAAACTTAGCACATGGAATTATTTACATTCGAAAGGATTGAACACTCAAGTGTGCACACCTTGTGTCCAAACCAAGTTGGATCTCCATCATCCAAGGGAATTTTTTCTGGCTCAACGGAGAAATCTGTAAGGATATCCTGGAACATAATATATTTGAATAAATTGAGTGCAAATAAATTTTGTAAGTTTTAACGACAAAAAACTATGTCTGAATACTGACATACGACAGAAAAAGAGTCTTTTCTTACCTGAAGTGACAAAGTTCCCCTGATTGTGACTACGATGGCTTTTTTAACATGATCCACACTCACAAAGAAAGGTGTTTCAAAGAGCTGGAAAAAGAGAAAAATTACCGAGAAGACATGTATGCGTTCCTATGAATATACTCTCTCAATCTTAGTTAATTAAAGGGATCTTGAAAATATTAACCCCTTCTTAACAAGATATGGAAAAACAAATGAATAAAGGGGGTAAGTTTCTTAAGAAACTGTGGTGCTACGACGGTGGGAGAGTATAACAGGGTAATTCAGTGTTATCAACTGAGTTGATAACGTAAATTGGCCACCGTAAAGAGTTTCAAAGTTGACCGGTTTCGACTGCTAGCCCTCCGTTAGAGCGATACAAGGCTAACGCTTTAATTCGCTCTGACTAAAGGTTCGCGCTTGAAACGTCAGCTTTGAAACTCTTTGCGGTGGCCAATTTACGTTAGCAACTCAGTTTATAATTCTAAATTTCCCTGTTATGAAAAAAACCCTCGGACCCAAAAAACAACCTTACATTTCTATATACATTGTAGGCTGAGTGAAGTCCAGCCAATGTCACCAACAAGGAAATGATCAATTTCTTAATTTCCCAAAGCTGTCTGTTGGATTGTGTATCAAATATGAAAGGAGAATTACAGTGCTGACAACTTTTGGAGGTAAGAGGGATAAATTATGAACAAATAGAGTTCAGAGAATTGAGGATTCATTAGGAAATAAAGTAGCATGAAGAATATAAGGCATATAATACTCTCCACATCTAAACAAAAACTAGCCTAGATCACCCAAAGTTAACCTAAGAAAGATGCGTAGTAGCCAAATAATTCTCTAAAAACCCTGATGCCCTATGGACACAATGGAGACGTTACTAGTAAAATTAAACTTACTTTGTTGTGATAGCTGACATAAATGACATCACTGTTGTGAATGTTAGCTATCCTCTTTAAGGCTGAGTAATTACATCGGCAGCAGTTGTCACTTTCAATGTCAACAAACTTTTGTGACCTGGGGTCTGGATGACGACATGGATAGCAACACCTGCCATAATAAACAAATAATGTGTTGCTTAACTTGACAAAAAGTTAGCATAACAATGAAAACCTTCTTGGAGAGAACAAACATGAATGACATTGCAATAACAGTTCCATCCTCACGTCCTCTAAGTTATACAAAAAAGGAATTCACCATGACAACAAGTTGCACTAAACACAAAGCACTAATCATCAAAATTCGTACCAAGAAAGGGTCTAATAAACATTACAAAGTAAGACAGCTTTTAACTCTTTAAACCTAGGAGTGATTAGCACCTAATTTCTCCCTACAATATCAGCCCTGAATCACACATTAAGGTCATGAGAATGGAGGAAATGATTACCAACAAAAAAAGCTTTTGATCAGTATATAAAATCTCCTTATCAGCACCTTAGAAAATGTATAAAGAACAGTATGGAGAATGTGCATAATGACATTAGGGTGTAAAGGATTAAGTAAGCATTAACACATTTTGTGTACATTGTTCATTCTTGCCAAATTCCCTCTCTTCTTCCTTCTCCTCCACCCCCCTAAACACCCTTCTAAGGTACCATGGGTGCACTAGTACCACAGGTTCTAAAGGTGTACAATTTAATGTACCTGAAACTTTTTAAGAGCTTGCAACATCCACAAGCTACATTGTTCTTCATGTAAATTGGCCAACCATAAGCAGACAATGCATAGTTCATGTAGTAAACAACATCCTTGAATAGAAGCAGTTCTTTCTAAAAGTGAAATTGTAGCAGAAGAGCAAAGCTATTAGTGGAAGAGTAGTAAAATGATCCTATGGCAAAAGGGTAAGTCACTGGACATGAATTTCAGTTACAATTCACAATGTAAGAAAACTGGCCTCTCACTATTAAAATCACACAAGAAACAAGGGTTATTTTGGAGCATTAAACATGTATATAACAATTGTACAAATTGAGATAAAGGTAGGAAAAAGAAGAGGCCAAATTGAGAAAGAAATATTAAAATTACTCTTTAAACACAAGCAAGACTAACAAATGTGGCCCTAAAACAAAACATCTGTATTCACTGTTGAGGGTTTTGGGAAAGTAACGCTCCATAACAGTTTCTTTTCCACTCTTACAAAAACAAGGCTTTGATTGATTTTTAGGGTGCAGATAATTTCCATATTTTATTGAAAAGTGTTACAAGCATGAATACTGTAATTCTTTCTACTCCCCTGACTACAGCATTGTTTAACTCACCGAAAACCTGACACAGACTTTTGCAAGGATATTTTTACTATGTAACTACCCTTAACCAAATAAGACTCCTTACCTTGTCTTTGAGGTTCAGTGCTCTAGATGTGTTTGTTCTTTGAAAGCGTAGTGATGACTTTTTGACACCTTTCTGCAAATCACAACACCAGACAAATATGAAAAGGAGCGTTAATTATGCTTCATACAGTACACAGTGCAATGTTACCATAGTATCATTGTATGATAGTCAAACAGTAGTATCAGAGAAAGATATGAACCCAATCTAACTTCTCCTCACAATTAAAAGCAAATCATGCCAACAGGTGATCAGACCAGAAAGGCTTATAGCCAGATGGTGTTATCTTCACAGATCACAAATTACTTTGTCTTACTTATAGAGAACTTTATGGAAGTCAGGATGTGCGTGACATTACCCCAAAAGCTAATGTTCAGTATCGTATGGGCTAGCTGTATCAAGTCTCTCATATACAGAATTAATCTCCACATCCATTGTACAAATCAAATACACATCTTCCTAACAGAACAAACTTTGGATCATGTCCTCACCTAATATATATACTCTGAGACAATAATTTCCAAAACGTTTTTGCTCATGGCTCATCCCAAAGTCACTAGCTTGATTAAATTGTATCTTGCATCTCATATACACATGTGGTTCGTTATAAAATAACTGAAGACTCAATGCTATTCAAGGTATTTTTGAAGGTTTCGATCAGAATAACCAGAATATGGTACTGGAAAATGGCACAAAAGGAATGATATCCAAAACCTCAAGAAATAGTGGAATCTTTACAGTCTTTCAATAAGCAGGTCTTCAATACAATCATTAGAGGATGTACAAACAGACATTCTGAAAGTGTAAATCTAAGAACAACAACTGTACTGCATAATTGTCAAACAAGTTATAGAAACACACCTGAGAATCTAGAACTTGTTGTTGCTCAATTGCCTTCATCAGGGCATAGTGTTCTTGTTGTTTCTGATACTTTCTTAGCAAAACAAGTCCAGCTGCAAAGTCTGATGGAACAACATCCAAATCTTGGAAATATTCTGCAAGCTTCCTATTATCAATAGAGAAAACATATCGTATGAAAATCTAGTACAGGGTACAATTATAAAGTTAAATTATGATTACAAAATCAAAATATTTTAATCAATAAGTTTACAATGCAAGTACATCAGTGAATCACAGAGGGTAAATTGATAGATTTATGTACCTTCCAATAAAGGTAAAGACATTATCATCTCCTTGTCCTACTCCAGAGCAACAAAAACATCGCTTGAAGCATCCTTCCCAACGTTTTTCATATTTGCGCATGATGTGGTTACCATAACTGACTGAAGCATCTAAACTATCTCCTGTTAGCTGTGCCTCATTAAAATCAACCCACATTTTCCCAGCAGAGTCAAATATACAATATATAATAACCATAACTGTAAATAAAAACAGCCAGTTGAAAATCACAATTGCTCTTGAAATATAAATCTCATGAGTCAATTCACATGTTGTGCCATCAATAAATATCCATTTTATTCCTATTGAAAGCCATAGGACTTCCAAGATAGCAAGGACAAGACGAACATAGAGAAGTTGTGGTATTAGATTTCGAGGTTCAGTGTCCATGATGGACCCCTTTCCACTCATCCACGCAATGGAAAGTTCCATAATATTTGTTGCAAAAAGAAGGGCTAAGTAGCCTCCCATAAAATAATCTAGGGTCTGTTCACAAATATGTTGGTCTTCTTTGTCAGCTTGGTGCAGGTGGTAAAAGCCATGATAGATACCAACAGCTAATGACAATACAATCATCCTGAAAATGAAATAAAAGAAAGTTGACCACATATTTACAAGCAGTCAAATCTAATTTATCACCAATAAATGAGAATAGGCCACTCCCAAGTTCTTGCAGTTTGGTGATCTGGTGCCGAAATTATGGCACGAGGACAAGGCTAAGTGCGAAGTCGCTCTCATCAGCAGAAAGATTGAAGTGCCATAATAGTGAAAAAGAATGCAGTTTTGTTGAAAAATGGCTAAACTCTGTTCAATTAACCAAACTATAATGTTTTTATGTTAAATGATAGACTAATTCTGCCATCTCAGTGTTTTCAAAACAAACTAGTTTTCACAAGTCTGTGAATAAGAGTCCTCCTCTTTTCTTCTACATTTCGTATTGATGCGAGCGGCTATCTGATTCCACTGCTCACTAAAACATGACGAGTCAAACTTTCTCTGTAAAAAAGCAGAACTGTTCTATTTATCCATGAAACTGCAGCAATGAAGAATAGCCTTTTCTCCCAAAGACCATGAAAAACTGTTGGAGGAGAAATTACAAATAAGTGAAAGCAAATTTCCAGTACCAATAATTTTAAATTCTTGGACTTACAGCTTCTCTAACATTCCAGAGCTTTTGTTCAGCATTGCCTAAGTTGTTTTGATGTCATTATTTAACTGCTGTTTTAGGTCTTGCTCATTTGTAGCAAGTAATTGCTGTAGTTTGCAGAAAGAAATTGAAATTAGTTATTTGTGAAATGAACTCAAAATCTGTATTTTTTGAAAAAGAAATCTGTAATTTGCAGTAATCTGTAGTTAGCAAAATGGTAAATCTGTAATTCACCCTACACAAGAAGTGCAGAAAACTTAAAGCTACCAGCTGGAAGGATGAATGGGTCAGTTCACTAATCTCATTTCTTGCATAAATCCAACAGTTCTGCTTTTCTCTTCCATTTGCCACCATCACTTAGCTGATGCCTCTCTCCCACAAAAATTTTTCACTCTCGCACACTTAATTCTGAGAATTTTCCTCGAATTTTCACCATCACAGCACTTTATTCTCTATATTGCTTAGGGTTAGTGGCTTCGCACTTAGCCTCATCTTCATGCCGTAATTTCAGCACCAGATCACTGAACCGTAAGAACTCAAAAAGGACCTATTGGAATTGGTGGGTGTTAATCATACATGCACAGGGAAGGTTTCTATGGAAACCCAGAAAGCTACAACCACCAGAAGCAAAGGTTACACATCACTGTCTAGTAGAAATCTTATACTTTTCCCAGAGGGAAGGGGGAGTAAATGACCTTACTCACAGGCCAAGCAAACAAATGTACAGGGCTTCCCTTTATACACCTACATACAAAGCGCCAACCAAAAATTTAATTTTCTCTGGGTCAAACTAACCAAATCTGCTGAAACGTTTCTTGATCCAAACCAAAACGAAAAAGTAGAGTGAAGCAAAGATTCCTAAAAAACACTAGTAATCATTAAAAATTGTAATTCAGTGCAGCAAGTTTTGATATTTTTGGTCCCTAATTGGCAAATCAAACAAAATTTTGAGCTCTACATTTGCAGCAAATGTCACCAATTTCCTGACCAGTGAAGGAAACTGCTATTTCATTATTACTTAGTTTGCATTTAGGATCCAAAGTTAAATTGATTTATTCATTAACATTTCATATTTATTACTCCTTACTCTTGATTGAGGAAAATAAGTTGCCCAAGCAAATTTTAAAAAGCAGCATGTACGATTTCAAGCCTTAGCCCTCTGTCAAAGCATTTGTGCAACATAGTGCTTCCTTTTTGCTTAGGGTTAGGATTAAAAGGATTAGTTTGCAACCATTTTAAAAAGGGATTTGACTCAAATTATAACCTTTTCATAATCACAAGCACATGTACATCTGTTGCAAACATTTTGTGGAAGTCAACATCAACTTATCCTGGAAATTATTATGTAACAAAGAATCACGAGCAAAGCTATGTGTCAACTCCATGAAACACGTAGCATTGTAGCAAGCAGATACCTACTAGATTCTTACTAGTGTCTGATCAATACAGGCTATCCATTTGGTACAAAGTTCTACATGATGTCCAGTCTGCTATGATGAAAAGGTGAAATTTATGGTCTGATGTAGTGCAAACTGTATTTTAAGTTAATTTTATCGGCTATTTTATGAAATCAACTGTGTAGTGTCTCCATTTAATACACATTGTATAAGCTCTGTGTCATCAATTTGTTGATTAAAAAGAAAATCTGTTGGCAAATACAGTTGGAAACAGAGTAGGTGAGTTTGGTCATTGCAGACTATGTAGTTCAACAATTCGGACTCTTTTAATAATATGGTGATAGTAAGGTGCATTGCACAAGATATGTTTTCAAAAATGTTCCGCATTTATATAACATAGAGTATTACATCTGAAGTAAAGCCTATTTCAGTGTCCGCTCCATCCACTCAATAGAGGTATTGCCTTGAAACAGGTTTATTTGCAGTAAACATCAGAGGATAAGAAGGAGAAAGAACTTGGTGTCTGCTTATGTAAAGAGTGACCATTAGTTTCAGTGTTCTGACAAGAAGCAATGGCAGCTGGAATTTACCCTGGCTACTCATTTCTAAAGGGCTGGCTTATTTGATGGGGAAAAAAAATATCTACAATAAAATAAAACATTTGCTCTGGCTTTGTATAACCCCTAGGGGATCTATTCAAACCAATAAGAAAATGAAAATCAAAGGAAAGGGAAATACATAATTTGGATGCTTGCGCTTGGCCACCCAGTTGTTTTCCCCCACTATTGTTTTATAAGGCTAGCTAAAAAAAGAAAATCTGGAGAACTCTGCACTTTATACACATTGAACAGAAACTAACAAATAGCCCCATCTTGAAGAAACTAACTATTCTGTTTGTCACAGGGTTTCAGAATTGTATATTTGTAAAGACACCATGACATACATTGAAAAATGTACACTTGTTATGCAAAGGTTGTGTTTTCTTTACATCTCCTTGGCTGTACAGTGTGTAAACATGTCCTTTAGTGAAAATACAGTACCAGAAAATGCTTAGAAAATGATGAAGAACTTGTCACTTCTCTGCAAGAGCTTTGAAGTTGAAAGAAGTTAATTTGCATTATACGTGTAAACAGACTGCTTTACACAGCAGGATGTTCATAACAAATAAATATCACTAATTACACGACTGTATACTACTCCTTCAGTTCATCACAATGCAACATTCTGGCATTTATTCTGTTTCTTTTTTTCATGCTAAATACTGTGCCTTCATATGTTATAACTGTATGACACAAGAAATAGTAATCATACATTTAACTAACTATTTAACCAACTATTTACTACGTTGTGTAACATTCCAATTTCAATTTGTTGGGTCAGTCAAGTTGGTTCATTTGAGTCAGAGTAAATCCAAATTTCTGCCTTGGGGTTTTTTCGTTCATAATACACAGCCTTCGTTGTCAATTCTATCTTTAATGTTTCTTCCATTTTCAAGGAGAAACACAAACAACAACACACTCTGTTGAGCTACAGTAATTTGGAAGAAATGAGTCATTCCTTTAATAAATTCATTGCTGAACCAAACAATATGGTTTTTCTGACAGCATTTCATTAGTCACTTAACAGAAGATAACATCAAGTGAAAATGAATTGTTTTTATACAATTTTGCACTAAACATAACAGAATTTGTTTAATTCAAAGTTATGAAAAATACTGTGCTCAAATAGAGAGAGAGACTTGGCTAAATGCTTCAAAAATTGCATTTAGGTCAAAACTGCAATCTACATGTAAGCACGTTCCACCAGAAACCCTTTAATTGGTTTGAATTGCAACGTTTCTTTGCGGTAAATGTTTAATAAGGATATTATATATAATGAGCATGTTTTCAGTAGGAAAACTGAAACAATTTTCAAGTTTATAATTCTACTGCACAATATTATACATAACATCCAAATCTTATGATGTGACCTAAAATAATTTCATTAGATACAGTTTATGAAGGTCAGGGGAAAACAAGCATGATTTAGACTAATTAGACCAAAAACTTCTTTGACCATGACCTTCTTTTGTGTGGTTAGTGATGACATTATCCACATTTTTTCTTCACATTAGCATGAGAATGATGAGCTATATGACAAAACATCTTTTTTCTAAAAATATTACAAAATCAGAGAAAAAAACTTAAAAATTAGTTCAGACAAAATATTCTTACAACTACATGTAAGTAACCAATGTTTGATACTAACTGACCTTCTATAAAGAGAGGAAGTTGTAGGAAAATTCTTTATCGACCACCATCTTATTTAATAATTCACTGCAAGGGATGATTGCTGATCCTTTCCATATATGGAAAAACTTAAAAGGAACACTTCAATGTTCAAATCACAACTCTTTCTAAATCAATTAAGCTGGGTCCAAGTTCAAAGAGGACTAAGAATACACAAAGCCCTCATTTTTTTTTTTTTTTTTAACAAAACAAACTGTTAAAGTATTTACAATCAAAGCTAAAGTAACATTGATAAGAAATTTCAAATTTAATACAAACGAATCAAACCAGACAGTGTTTTGAGGTTTACAATTGCTGTATAGTTTTAAACACAGTGTTTATAGAGCCAAGCAATTGCCCCAGTACAAATTTCAATTGCCCTGCAGCCACTTTTTTATAAATATTTCCAAACATCTATAAACAAGATGCCAGAGGAAAAGAAAGGTGTGAGCTATCTGCTACAAAGCTGATAAAACAGTTGGTCTGATATCCAAGTTTGAAAACAATACGTTTAATCTTTAGTAAAGCCAGTCTGTTTGATATCAAACCCACAAGCCACATAAAAACAGATGGCAAAGACAAATTGACACACATGTCATCCACATGATCTGTTTTCCCAACATAATTGATTTCACTGGCTGAAAACACTCTTAAAAATTAAAAATAAAGCTATTCACTAAACATAGAAGTCCATCCAAGCACAATACTCCAATAATTATCTATCCTTTAGAAAGATAGATACTTGAATACATTAATGTCATTAAGATTCTAAAACTAAGAAATTCAGAAAACCTCAACCCTGGAACTCGTTCAAACATTTGACAAGGCAATTTTTAATTGAAATTTACAAATTATCCCACATACGAGGTAATAAATTAAGAAAATCAACTAATTCTATTTTTCTCAACTCAGTCTATTCTTGGAATGCTGGAAAATTCTGAACACTAGTGACAATATCCAGATCTAACATGGAGCAGATTCGACATTGCATAGTTTTCCAAATTATAAATTAAATATAAGCAGAAGATTGATTCTGTGGCTTGATGAAAATGCACTGGGCTGTGTTGCAGGATATGCAGCGCAGAGTTATCTTTAGCAACAAAAACGCCATTGCACATGGACAACAATCGCAAAGAGGAAAAATAAAATCAAAAGTAATTGTAGCATTTTGTTGTTTTGCAGAAATAACGTAATTTTGAATATCCGCATTACGGTCAATATAAGAACATGAGATTGAATTTCTCTCCTGACTACAAAAAACGTCTCTATTCAATTTTTCATTGCGATATTACAAAGTTTCTTGAAGTGAAAATATAAGACTTTTAAACCAGACTACAACACCACGCAAGACCTGCAGGGTGTAGACGATAAACTCATCTCACCGAGAAGACAAAGCACGCAATCGTTTCACTCACCCATCACTCAATTATTTCAAACAAAATTATACGACATACATATCGATGCACCAAATTTTACTTTGGCAACTTACAGTACCCTTAAAGAGAAGATGTGAATCACTATTTGATACCTAAAGCTCGAAGATTATAGAGTTTCCAAAACAAGATTTCGACACGTAGATAAATCCACTTGAGTTGTCGAAAGAACATTCCTAAACTCGAGAATTTAATTATCACTAATAGCTGGGAACGAAAAATAACACCGATCAACGGCTAAATAGAATTATCTGCTGTGCAAACATACATCTTTCTCTTAAGTTACGGAAGCATGAAATTGAATAGCAACAGAACAATAGCGGACTTCCTAAATAAACCGAGTTTTGCGGAGTATTGCACATGCCTCCTTTCCAATTACATGTAGGTAAGCTCCGAAAAGAGGGGTGCAATATAATAATCTGCCTTACAGACATTTTTACCGTGATATAAATAATTACATGGTTTATAACACGATTATACGCTTACGGCATGTCCCATAAGGTCGAATAGTTGTAGAATTTTTCTAAAGTATCTTTACGTCAAACATTTTGTGTAGAACGGAACGTACACATAAAACATGCTCGCATACTTCCCAAGATCCATCATTACATGCCATTAACAGCGTGGAATAGAACATTTTTCCTTACCATATTCCTCTGAGGACGAAAGCAATTCCAAACGGAATAACCAAATCATCGCTTGCAACCATCCAGCGACGCCTAAACACAACAATTCCCGGCATGTTTTGATGAAAGAAGGAAGCATCCACGTGAATGTTTCCACTTAGAAGGGTTTCCCCACAAAGGTTTTTGACGAGAAACTTTCCTATGGATTAAACGTACTTATCCCTTGGAAAACCAGGGTAATTTATATAAAAATCACTAAAGAAGTGCTTTTTTGGGGCGAGTCAAGCCATCAACAATTCTTTAAAGGAAGTCTCCTTATGTACGCACAGGAGACCACCGTTTTTATATTTGCATAAGTTTGCGCATGACTTAGAGGTAATTCATGATCGCTGGCGCAGAATATGAAAAGAGGAATGTGATTGGCTTATTACAGGTTTACGGTAAATTCAAACTTGAGTTCTCGAGCACAATTCATTTCGTTGGGAATTGTTTTTACTATTTTTCTTTTTGAAACCAAAAGATTGCCAATATTTAAGGCTTAAAAGTTAATCGAGGAATATGTTCGTTTAAAAGAGCAAATTCGTGAAGAAAATCCATTTTCAATTGGCTGTATGAAGGTGAAGACCACTCGGTGAAATTTTTAATGGCGGTCTTCAATAACCCGACGAAAGAAATGGCACTAGGGTTTTCTTTGCATATTCGAGCTGAAGAAGCGATAGGAAAGTTCCAACAAGAAATCGAAGATGACTTTAAGTATCTTTATGAGATTCTATCGGAAGCCAAGCAGTCCTTTGGACGGTAAGATTTTCTCTAGAGTTTCTCTTTTTGAAATCATTAAACTTTGCGTATCTGTTTTTTTGTTTATGACGTGCTTCTGTTCTGTGATCTTAGGAGAGACAGTTACATTCTTCTTCCAAAGACGCCATCCATGAAAAGAAAGCGACAGGAGAGTGATGAGGAGCATAGTAGCGATGATGCTTCATCGAGAATGGCAAGGGAAGCAAAAACTCACAAGACTCAAGGATACGCCTCGCCACTGAAGGTAATCAATGAAAACGAACTGCTGGACTGCAGTGCAGTGAACACGGAATGTAATCATAATGATACAAAACGAACGACGAGAGCGATTAGGGCTAATTCACGAGCAGCACGACAACAACCAAAGAGAGGATCTGGAAAGAAGAATCTCCCAGATATAGGAAATGCATCAAAAGAGCAAACTCCAGGTTCATCTTTCATCGACGATCAGCCGAGACGAACCACCAGAAATCCTAAAAAGACGAATTTAGAATTAACCAGAGTAACAGAGGAAAAATCGATTCGCTCATCATCAAGTAATGAAGTCAAAGACTTGCCCAGAAGAACCACTAGAAGTTCAAGACGGAAAGAGGTGGAAGAAAATTCTGATGTGTCGCTATCAGAAAAAATACCAAGGAAACCTGTAGCAGAGATAACTAAATCAAGTACAGATCTCATCTCAAAGGATTCTGGTGATATCACACCCTTGTTAATTGTTAAACAAGAAGTTGTATCAACTTGTAAGAAATCACAAGCGGGGCAAATCAGAGTAAACACAGAAAAGAACGATAAATTGACAGATAGTGTAGCAAAAACAGAGCCTGATCTTGTTTCAGAAACCCTGCAATCCTTTCCTATTAAAGCCAAGACACCAACTACATCTCCCAAGATCTGCAAAACATCCATCAATGTAGTCCTACAATCACCAGCATTGGGCACTCCAAATGGTGATGAGGTGATACCAATAATGTCATCAAGTCTCTGTCATGAGAAAAGTCCAAATTCTTGTGCTTCAAAAGAACTTGGGTTGCAGAATGTTACGTTGGAGGAAAATCAAGTTCTTGATGAGGAACCTCTGGTCAATAATAGTGAAACACATGAACAATCACCCACCAAAGCACATGTTTCATGCCAAGAGTTTATTGAAACCTCTACTGCTAAAAATAAAGATGATGTGGGAACTGGAGTGGGAAGTTTATCAAATGACGAAAACAATCCTGTCTCTGAGAATGCAAAAGTTGATTTATCTAAAGAAGTTGTCACTAAGAAAACTACACTTGAACCCAATCCTGTAGAAAAATCTTTGGAGAGAAGTAGAGGAAGAAGCAGTGGATGGCGTAGAAAGAGCAAAAGATTGAGCAACAACAGATCTCCATCAAATAGAAGACTTTCCATGAAACAGAAAGTAGCCAAATCAAAAGTTCCTGGAAAGAAGAGCCTGGTCAAAAGTTCAGTGAAACTGAAGTTGACACATTCAAAGCTCATGCCAGAATTGAAGATACACAGTGCTGAAAAGCAAACCAATGGTGAAAATATAGAATCTAACCTAGAAGATGTCAAAGTGCGTCTGTTTGATAATTCAACAAGTGAAAACAGTAGTCAAAGTGCAAGCTCTGCCACTAACAGTAGCTATAGCAGCTCTGAGGACAAAGCTGAGGCTCTGGTGGAGAAGATTGCACAGGAATTCATAGAGGATGAATTAGAGGTGTTTCATGACTGTAGAGGATCTGAAAATGAAGACATTGGTGAGGCAGATGATGAGAAATACACTGAAACAAAAAGGTTTGTACCTTTATTAACATTTTCCATGTTATGTCTACTTGTAAAACTAAACTACTGACTACTAGGCTAGTGCGAAGGGTTTGTTGTTGTTATTATTATTATTATTATTATTATTATTATTAATATTATTATTATGACTTTTATTATATTTTTGGAAAATAGAGGTGTAAAATTGAGGATTATTCTAGTATCCCTGCTGTCATGAGATGTATGAGTACATGGCTGAAACCAGTTTTCCAATAACATGTAAATGTTAAAAGAATACTTTTTCTTTTTTACAGTAAGTCTTATTAACGGGGGGTTCTGTTGTCAGACTTTTGATTCATACATATTTTAATTGAAACTTTGCAGTGAACATTCACCCACTCTGGAAAATGCCAATTCTTCCATGATCATTGTGCAAGCAAGTGATGGGAGCAGTGGTGAAGAATCTGCACCCAACTCAAGGGAGATGTTAGAAGATCCAATGACACCCCCTTCACAAGAGACTTTGAATCCTTCACACAAGGTAAAATCTACTCTTACTCTTAGAATAATAACTCAATAATAATTCAAATATTTCTATAATGCTTTATGTATAGAAATGATCAGTAGTGCTTTATAATAATTCACCTATAAAACTATTCAACAACAATCAAAGTATACCATGTAAAATGTAAATGAGACTTGCAATAAATAAAACAAATCAGAATAAATAATACCCAATAAAAACCTAAATAAAATATCTGGTCTAAGACGGTTAAAGAAAAACCCGACCAAAAAGGTAGGCCTTAAGATTGCATTTAAAAATTATCAATGATGGGATAGCACTCAATTCAGCAAACAAACTATTCCACAAACATGGTGCAGTGGCATAAAGGATCTAGCACCAAGCATAGAAAGCCTTTTCTCTCTGGATGGCTCTAGTAACAAGGTGCCATCAGACCTAAGATTGTAAGAGGACTTCTGCCTAACACTAATTAAATCACTAATATACAGGGACGCTAATCCATGAATTGCCTTAAAAGCTAAGTCTAATATCTTAAAATGAATATGAGCATGTACTGGCAGCCAGTGAAGATCATAAAGTGCTGATGTAACTTGTGAATGCTTGTTCATAGCAAGTTCAACTGCTTCACTCTGAATACATTGTAATTTTAAGATCTGTAATTTAGATAATGATACAAGAGACTGTTACAATAGTCTAACAACTAGTAATAAATGCATGAATAAATGTCAGTAAAGAATCACAAGATAAATACCTCTTAATACACCTAATGTTATGCATATGATAAAAAAAACCTCAATTTTAAAACTGTAGTTGATGGTGGGATAAAACACATTTTGCATTATGCTTCTTGAAACTCCAAGGTTTCCTTGTTACTGGAAGGCAAAGCAATATACATATGACTGAACAGTGTGCATACAGTAAACAGTAAGGAATTTGTCACATGTTCAATTGTACCATAGCTTACAATGCAAAAGCATTGATTACCAGCTGCATTTTAAAAAAAAATCCCAACATTCCTTTTTTTTATCTTGTTTCAGTCTAAACCAAATAACATAGCTGTGGTCCATTCATTTATCAGAAGAAACACACCCAAGAAGGTTGATCCAGAGGTAGGCATCACATATTTGATTTACCAGTACCATTCACCTTCAGAGTATTTAATACAACACCCCACAAAAATGGTTTTTATTAAGTAATCCTCTGTAACCTAACCTGAGTCTCTATATTCTCCATTTTGTTCTTTATACATTTTCTAAAGTACTGACAAGGAGAATTTGTTTAGCGATCAAGATCTTCTCCAGTCAGTAGTCATTTACTTAATTGTCGTGATCCTAATGTGTGATTTAGGGGTGATAATGAAAAGGAGAAATTAGATGCTGGTCGCTATAAGGGGTCAAAGGGTTGTATCACGTAATGCATGAAGAAAATCATTATCAGCTAAATCCATTGGAATTAAAAGCTTGGTGTACAGGGTGCTCCATAGAGTGTTCAACAGATGATCCCACCTGGACATCACAAAATTCCCAGCTGTTGCACAGAATTCCCTTCCTAGTCTTGTTGGCATTAATTATTTTTAATCAGGCACAGAGAACATCCTCCTTTTAAACTTTTCTCTTGCTACATGTACTATAATTTCTTTATGAAAACCCTATGTCATATTGATAAATTACAGTGTACATGGAGGTCAAAATTTTACAGTTTTCTCAGATAAGGTGCTGAATAAGATTGGCAGATTTTTAATTTAGTAATAAGCACCCCTATGGCATAAGCACCCTCGTTTCAATAAATGCCCCTATCAAAGCTTTGTTTTGCACGTTTTGCTGTTTCTCATAAAAGAAATAAGTGCCCTGTCCCTACCAAGAGCCCCGTTTTGAATATGTGAGCTCTGTAGAGGCAGTGTAAGAAAATAAGCGCTAAGGCGCTAAATCAAATAATTCTGTTTACTATGAGGAAACTTTCTCGAGTCAGTATTACAAATTGGTATCAATGTAGTGATAGGTACATGTAGTAAGCACATTAGGGTGGAGCTTATTTTAACCATATTGACATGGTGAATTGGTGATCATTTAACGGGATGTTTTTGATTGCAGGAAAAAAAGAAACAGCTACGCAATGCATTAAAAGAAAAAGAGGAAAAAGAGAAAGAAAGGCGAGAACAACTTGAGATTCAAAGGCAGAGAGAAATCGAGGAACGAAAAAGGTAAAATATGTAATATCAAGGCTAGAAACAAACTGAACCAGGTCTTCAAGGAAATCAAGTTTCCTTATCAGTTAAGTAACTTCTCTCGTGCACTTACCTAAGTTTCGGACAAGCCACTTTTTTATCTGGCATTTAAGAACATACTGGATTTCAATTTTTGTAACCCTGAATCATACGGTCACTTACACAGGTTTATACAGGTTTAACCTGTTATGCATATAGGATGGCGGAAAATGAAATAAGACTTTTTTAATGGTCTGTTTTTTAATAAATAGTTTTATTTGGTATTAGAGATAGTATAAGCAGGAGTACAAGTATAGAGTGTTTTTAAACGTTGAACCTACATAGTTTTTATCTGCATGCTCACTTGAATGCCTCTCTAAGGTGGTGTTTCCTTCACAAGCCATCACTTAGCTACTTTGATTTTTCTTCTTCTCGTTTTAGGAAAAGAGAAGAAAGAGCAAAAAAAGCCGCAGAACAGCGAGTGGCCAAACTTCAGGCGTTGGAAGACAAGAAACGTCAGGCTCAAGATCAGCGGCAGATCCTGATGGAAAAAGCCAAGAAGCTTAAGGAAAAGGAGGAAGAGGACAAGAAGAAACAGCGAATACAAAAAAGAGCTGAGATAGAAGGTAGAAAAAAACAAGAGGAGGCTGCTAGACTGCAGAAAATAAAGGAACAGGAAGAGGAGGAGAAACGACAGCGTGAGATGCTTCAGAAAAGACAAGAGTTAGAAGAGCAGGAGAGGCAACGAAGGATCATTGAAGCCAAACGCCACCAAGAACACAGGGAAAAGGAGCTGGAGAGAGAGCGAGAGTTAGAGAAACAAAAGAAGCTAAAGGCTATCGAAGAGAAAGAGAAACGGCTTCGCGAAAAAGAAGAAAAAGAAAGAAAAACACGAGAGGAGAAACTGAGGATTGAGCGCGAGAAAAAAGCACAAGAAGATAAAGAGAAGGAGGAGAGGGAGAGGGCGAGAATTGCACAGCTTATCCGCGAGAAAGAAGAACACACGCGAAGAGAAAGAGAACAGCGCGCCAAGGAAGAGAAAGAGCGCCAGGAGAGAGAGAAGAAGTTGAAGGAAGAACGAGAAGCAGCCTTACGCGAGAAGAAACGCCAGGAGCAGATCGAAAGAGAAAGAACGCGTGTCCTCGAGGAACGTAAACTCGCGGAAGAAAATAAAAAATTGAATTCCAGCACGACTTGCAACTCTTACGAGATGACCCCGCCTCCAGTGAAGGTGCGAAAACCGGCTTCATCAGAGAACTACAATATTGCTGACCTACAGAGCGATGAGTCAACTGACGATGAAGACAACCCCAGGAAGAGGATACCGTCATGGGCGCGACCACCCGCTCTGAAAGCCGCCATTTTTCACCAGGAGTATTCTAACATAGATGTTAACAGTATCTTCGACGATGTTCCTAAGCCGAATTTAGAAGATATTTTCAAGCACGCCACAAAGAAGAAACGGTTTAACCAACGTACAAGTTCGGCAATGTGGGATTCACCCCCGCTGAGACAAGCCAAGAAAGGTACATATGTGTAGGAGTGAGAAAGCAGTTACCAGATTAATGGACTTATTGACTCTTTCTTTTGAGATGTTGTGTTCATCTGGTTTTTAACTTTACGAGGAGTATTCTGCTATCACAACTGAAATATCAGCTTACGACTGCTTGTAGTATAATTATTGCAGCCACTGCTCATAGATTTGATTTAATTCTCGCAGAATTAATTTAATACTCTCAGTTTCAGCCAAAGGTGCCAATACGTACACGTGGTATTCACTAGTTTTGCATAGACTCAGATGTACATTTACACACCCACTAGAGTAGACAGTGTCTGTTACATTATTTCGGATCACAAGAGGCCGACCCGTTTGGTCTTGATCACGTTGTTGAATATTCAATGCATTTGTTCCAAGTTTAATTCTTACGAAAAGTTTTATTGGTAGGTGCATGGGAATTAGTGTAAATTTAGTTTGAAAAAGTGGAATAAACCTGTCCTAAAATAGATGAATACATTTAGCGCTAGAATAGTCTCTTAATCAACATCGAAGTTTTGTAGTCATCCACACTTACAGTGTGGTCTCAAATTTCTTCCCTCGCCAATCTCTAAGTTCAAAGTCTGGCATGTCAGTTTTTGGATAGACAGGGAGACTTATCAACGACAAACACTAAAGAAAACTAGTAAGAGTATGGGCAGACTAAGGATTTCGTTCATCGTTTATAATCTCTGACTAAGCAGTAAGTAGGTGTAAGCAAACCTAGAGCTCGCCAACGTTCGGAAGAGACTTAGAGCTGTAAGCTATTCAAGCCGTTGGGCTTTCCTTCAAGCCTGTGGATGCTTTATCTAGGAGTTCCCGTTTTAGGTCCAGAAAATAACGATTGAGGGGCAATTATTTGTTTTCATGATGTGATTTTAAAAGGGAAGAATTAGATTTAATATTGTATATAGTTGTTGTTATTTTTTATACTGAGCCACGTTTCGCATCTGACACATTTGATGAAGGAATTAAATCAGTGGGAGATTTTATTGATCTCATTGTAAGTCATACACAGGTGTATACAGATCACTTCAATAACGCAATAAAAGACTGGAAATGTGCTGACTTCTCAAATACCTCTTTTATTTGTTTTTCACCTGTCTCTCTCTTTCGAACCTAACCTACCTTGCCCCTGAAAACAAATGAAATAAATTACCATAATTTATCTTCATGCAAAACGCTGGATAAAGACACGACTGCAAATAATAGCGTCTAATCATTTGAGGTACCCACTTGTTGGGAGCAAGGTGAATATCATTTTGCATTTTTAAGGTAGGAGTTTGCGGACAGAAATCACGTAGACGGACGGTCTGAATGACATACACTTAAATAAAACATACAACGATGACAAATATATCTACGGCTTGAATGGTCTTACCGCTTCACCAGTTTTCGTTTTCACTCTTTAGTAGGTGGAAAAACGCGGGGTTTTTTAATCCCAAAGTGCTTTATAGTGTTTTCTAGAAATAGCAGTGAGCTACAGCCAAATATTCTGGATTAAAGGGGTTAAGTTTCTAAAGAAATTGTAATGCTGCGTCGCTGGGGGGTATTACAAAATAATTTGGTTTTATCAACTAAGCTGATAAAGCATATTGGCCACCGTAAGGTTTTTAAAGTGGACGTTTCGAGCGTTAGATCTCTTTCAGAACAAAGAAGTGTACTGACTGTTTACCATATTTCTTCGAATAAGCGTCGGGCGATTATTTCAAGTTTCGGGGGAGGGGGGGGGAAGGAGGGCACCAAATCGAGGGGAGTACTTACTAAGTGAGAGTAGCAAGAGGATAAAAGTCAAAGTCACGTCAGCAGAACAAATGTAGGTCAAGTGCTTCTTTTAGATCGGAAGCCCTTTGTTAGCTCTATCCTGAACATGTGATATACTTTGCTGAGAGGATTCAACATGGGTCGTGTTGTTGCTGTTTTTCTTGTAATTTGCCTCGTGGCCTGCTTCCTGTTTGATAGGTTTGTATTGACTCGACCCGGTAATGAAGGTTCAATCGAGAAGAGTTTCAATTCGGAAAGACCCAAAATATAGATCATGAAGGCGTTTTTCGTTTGACAAAAGGCCAGAAATCAGTTAGACACGGCTTAAGATGAATTTTCTTGTTGATTATACAACTGAAATCACAGTTATAACGATCACTTTTTTATGACCCGAGACAGGGTTGACATCAGAAGGAACGAACGAGACCTAAAATCAACACGCCATTTAGCAGGCCTCGATTAGGGTAAAAAAAAAGTTTGGAGGTAAATTGCATCTTAAAATCATTCATAAGGTGAAGGAAGCTCCAAATAATTATATATATATAAAAGGAAAAGAAAAAAAAATTTTAACATGTCACTGGATGATTAATCAAAAATCGCTTCCATGACATGGTTGCGCGAGCAAATCTGAATTAAGCGTGAAAGGCGCTGCTGCAAATTTATGAAGAATTTATTACCCGGTAAATTTATTCAATTAGAGGCTCACTGTGCTATGCAAAGGTAATGAGAGCATGTGTAACCTGGTATTAACGTCCGAAGCCTACCACGCCGTTGAATCATGTAGTAGACTATCGTCATTTTCTCCATTGTTTAATGTGCGTGTATTTAAATTTCGCGCTACGTGAATAAGATTTTGTTCCTGATGTGCTAAAAAAGCTTTGTATTCTCCTTCCTCTAGCGTGTGATTTAAACCTGGTAATAACGTCCGAAGCCTCGCGCATCATCCGTATTTCAATTCAACGAAAGGAGTTAAAAAAACAGTGGCGAGTGGAAATAGTCGCATACGCTCAGCCTTTTAGACCCAGGGTACTCACGGAGGATACCCGACAGCAGAGCTTTGCATACATTATGACGAAAAAAGTGTATTTGAGAATGTTTTGTAAATCACTGGTGAAGCGATAAATCGCAACTTTGTAACGGTAGAAAAGTTCTGCCCTCTTTTAAAAAAAAAATGCTAACAGTAGTTCTATGATCCAGTTGAGGTAACCACTTGCTATAGGCAAAGTGAATGTTATTTCGGTAAAAATAAATAATTGGTTTAAAGGTAAGAGTTTTTAAATAGAAATCTCGTAACCTCGCGCTCTCAATAACAAACACGTAAAATCGAACTTAAACGTTCTCTTTCAGAAGAGTTTGGCCATTAACCTTCACTTGTCATGATCTAAACAAGTGTTCTGATCTGAAGGAGCTAACGAACCCTGCGATCAACATGCCACTTATCAGGCCTCGACTCAAGAGAAAAGGTGTAAATTTATTGATTAAGTGAAGCTTCTAATAGTTTTATAGGCAGATAAATAAAAAAAATTCAGCTGCTTTAAAAGCTTAATCAAAAATCTTTTCAATGGCCTGGTTGCGCGCACAAATCGGAACATAACGTGTGTGGTAGTCCTGAAAATTTGTGAAGACAAAGAGGACTGAAACATCCCCTTGTTGTTTATTACTTACAGTGAAGCTGGGAGTCGACGCCGACGCGAGAGAATAAATACCCCGGATAATTACCCCGACGAATGGGGCCGGGATGAAGACAACTGAGCTTTTTCCTGAGTCAGATTGTGTCAGGCTAAACTTATATAACGTTTGATATTAAAACAGAGCTTGAAATGTGTTTCAAAGATATGTTTTGTGAACTATTTCTCAATTTTATTAGCTATAGTTATAGTAAAGAGCTCCACTCAGTCTCTTAGACACGGAGTATAGAGAGAGGGAAATCCAGTCGGTTCCCCAACACGTCAAAAGCGACAAAAAAAAACATTTCCTTAACGACGCACAATATAACTCCAATATTCTATCAAAGACTATTAACACCATGGTCTCTATATGCTGCAACAAGGAGATGAAAATTCCAAAGGCAACTAGAGGAATATTTGTCAGGATCAGAGTTGAAATGTAGGTGAAACTCTTCTCCAAGAAAATTGTTGAAAGCTTTTCTCGTAAATCCGCTAAGTTTCATGAGATTATGATACAGTTTTATCTTTCTTTGGCGTTGACAACCGTAACTTTCTCTATCCTTCCATACCTCTCTCTCCGTGGCAGTGAAGAGATTCACGACGTCCTCAATCGACTTTTCCAGGGAGACCTTAAGTCATGTATTAGTGCATAAAAACTAAGCAGCGGTAATCTTTCCCACGACTATTAGTTATTAGGATTCCGTACTATGTACTAACCCGAAGGTATTGTGTTCCCTCAAGGGCTCGTATTTCTTTAGCTCTCTAAAAAACGTTTGCGAGAACTGATAATGCATTTTGAGAATGTCTTGTATATCACCAGTGAAGCAGAGCTGAAAACAGCGAAAACATCTCTTGCCAGTTTGGCGGTAAACACTCGGTCTTGTTTCACTACCTCATATTTTCCGTTGTGTTCTAAATTCAAATGCTGACATGTGCTTTAACCGCACTTTCAGTGTTTTCCCAAAGTGTTCCGAAGTTTAGAACATGCTGAAACAACTGTTTTCAATTTTGAGGCCTAAATGACCGAAATGAAACAAAATCAGGGATCGTACTCGACGATTTCGCTGGATAGGTGGTAATGCTTCAAATGACTCGATACGTCGTCCTAGCATTCCAGGAGAGACTTCAGAGCTGAAACTCCACTGAAATGCCTGCAACCAATACAATCTTTGCTCTTCATGAAACAACCTGATTCATTTTTAAAGGCGCTTTGTGGCTGAATCTCGGTAGAAACCGGAATAATTTTTGCAGAGTGTATGCGTGTTGTTTTGTAAATAACACTGTAACGCACTTAAAATTGATTACGTGTCCCTTTAAGGTACGCAGTCTTTCTGTAATGACAGAACGCCAAAATTGTATTCTTTTATTTTGATCTTCTCCACACTGCGCGTTTTCCATGATCAAGGGAAGTTTTGCAAGAAGTGTGCTAACTGCTTTTCTACATTAAAATGTATTACAGATTTTTTTTCTTTCTTAAAGGGGTTGTGGATTGAGTATGTCCAATTTTGGGTATGGTCTTCTACTAACCATCATCCCTAATTGATCTTCCTCAATCTGATGGTATAACGATCACAACAACAATTGTTGCTGTAAAGTCAATTTTTAAGTCGAACTAGTGTCTAGACGATACGTAACGTAAAGCCCGCCACAGTCGAGGTAAAAATATGAGTTTGAATCATTTGCAGGATGAAATGAAGTTTCACATGGTTGGAAAAATCAAAGAAAAGAAAGACAATTTCAGATGTCTTTAAATGCCCAGTGAAAAATCAATTCAATGGCCTGGTCGCGCACAAACAGGAACTCAGCGTGGGTGTTGCTCCTACAAATTATTTGTAAGGAAAAAACAGAACTGAGCCATCCCTTAACATTTAAATTTTTTATAGTGAAGCTCAGCGCGGACGCCGACGCCGACGCAGACGCAGTGGGAAACTAACAAACGGCCCATTAGACCACCAAGATGCCCAGAACTTTGCCGATGAAAAAGGGGGAAAAAAGAGGGAATTGGTTTTAATCCAGCTTCCTCTTTTCAGTTTTTACTCTCTTTGCATTCGCACCATTATCCATCCAGCTACAAGTCTTCATTTTCGGCCAATACATCAATTATTCTTAGTTAAGAATTTAAGGTCCTTATTTATAACTATGAGTTGCAAAACCGGCTTTCTTTTTTCGATCCGATGTGCACTGTGAGCCTCAATCTTTACCTGGATGTACTTGAGTCACTTATGCGAGAATAATAGGTAATTTTAGTGAAATAAGATCGTGGATGCCTAAATAGAGGAGAATAAATGGCTTCGCTTTAACGAAGAGCTTACGAAGAGCTTACGAAGAGCTTTAACGAAGAGCTAACGAAGAGCTTACGAAGAGCTTTAACGAAGAGCTTACGAAGAGCTTACGAAGAGCTTTAACGAAGAGCTTACGCTCGAAACGTCAGCTTTAGAACCTCTTTATGGTGGTCAATTTTACATAATCAACTCATTTAATCAAACTAATTTATCTAAGCCCACTGGACAAGATCTAATATTCGTTTGCAACCATCATGTCAACTGATTTCAGCCTCTTTTTAACTATCAGAATGTTTCTCCGCAATTCTGCGCTTGAGTATACCACTGGTATCTCACTACAAAAGACTGCCAGCTTTCTGATAGCTCTTTTCAAGCGGGTCATGTTGTGATCTGTTGGTTCCAGGTAATTGGGATGTCTAAACAGTAGAGGAAAAACACTCTCACATACCATATGCAGGTCCTGGATACCTAAAAGCGTTTTACAAGTGCCTTTGGTCTTGTCGCAAGTTGACCAGCAAAAGTCAGAACGACCTACAAAACAGTCCCAGTCAGAAACGCATTTCTTCTGTTCCAGGAGTGTTCGCAGAAAAACGTGAGGGTACATCAGATCAAGATCAATGAGTTTCACCGTCGAGGTAGTTGTAATTCCATAATTTCCCAAGTGTACATCACATGACTGCGCCAAGCCATACGGAGTGCTAGATGTGTCTAAAGTTGCGTCCAACAGCGAATAAGCGAAGTCAAATTTTTTGCGTCTGTTGTTGATATACACTTGAAAAGAAGCGCCTATGATAGGGCACTTTGCAACAGTACGCGCATAACCAAGGTTGCGAGCCATTTTTAACAAAGAAGAGCCAAAAAGATTCATAGCTCTGTTGCCGTAGTCATTGAGTAATTCTTGCAGCGGTTCAAATACATCAGGCAACAATGAAAGGTCTAGTAACTCCCAAGTGTTCCCAAACACGTCAGAAGCAACAAAAGACACTTTCTCCACAACGTATAATCCACCACAATACCCAAAGAAATCTACTGTGTGTTTACTTTCATTAAGGACCATTAACATCATGGGTTCTACAAGTTGTAGTAAGGAGATAAATGTTCTTGCTTCGGACGCTGAAATTGTCTCATCACCGTCCCCGTCACCAAGTGACAGCAAACGAAATACGAGTTTGTTGCAATGAGAGCAGTCGCCAAACAAAGTCTTCACTCTGGAGGAGACATCTTCTTGAAATGATGATACAGCTGCAAGGTCGGTTATTTTCTGCCTCTTCTCAAACTCTTCAAACCAGCTCATGTTAATTTTCAAGATAACCTCCTTTCCCTGCCATTCACCGTTATAAATCTTCTTCTCAGGCGCTGTACTGAGGCAATTTCCAAAATGGATACTGTTTTTTGGGCCGCAGAGATCGGGGCATAATGGACCTGACACGTCACCTGCCCTATAAGCTGAGCACTGAAATAGTAACAACAATAAAATCACATGAACTGTGTTGTCTCAGAATTTTCAAAATTGAGAAGAATAGGAATATGTCGATTACAGTAGATGCTTGGAACCTGGGGTAACATGCGATAATGTGGTCTGATCGTCCGGGTGAGGGTAGTCCTGAAAAGGACTGTTGTCGGTAATGGTGACTTACGTTTCGACAACCCGAGCGGAAGTCATCATCAGAGTCAAGTGAATATTTGTTGTCAGTCGAATGTTCTAAGTCCGGTTGCAGGCCAGGTTTGCCGTAATGTTATTGGCTGTAAGACTCAAGTGGCATGAGTCGGTCGTGTTGCTCGGCTTCGACCTGTCGGTAAAGTTAAGTCGTTCTGTTCGGTTTGTTATCACCTTTATTTTACCTCGGATTAACAAGAGTAGCTGCATTGCCGATTTCTCCGAGAAAGAAAAAAAACAAAAAATTTTGTCAGCTTCGAGAAGTTGGCATTGAAGTCTCATTTCTAACTTCTGGATCTTTATGCGAGACATGAATTTGTTCATCGTCAGCATATAAGTCGTTTGTGTGGTGCCGGTAGTTGTTGACACCTCTTGAGGGGAGTCTGTTTTAAGTTAGTTGGCCAGCTTTCCAGAGTCAGTCGGTGGAAGTAGTTAGTGCTGTAGGTTAGGCATTGCGCAGAGTCCCAGTCAGTAGAATGATTCATGAGTCGATGATATCTGGCAAAGTGATCATTGACATTACCTTTTCTTTGTCGCCCGCTTGTATTCAGTCAGTCTCGTTGTGAGGTTTCTGCCTGTCTCTCCAATGCAGGAGGCTTGGCAGTTGGAGCAATCGATCTTACAAACTGCTCCCTGTCTGTTCTTAGGTTCGTCCTTGTCTTTGTCGTTTGTTAGTTACTGACGTAGAGTGGCTATGGGTTTGTGGACGACACGAACATTGAAGGGTTGAAGGATGCGCGAGATGTTCTCAGACACGCTCTTTATATAGGGAGGTGAGCATCTCATTCGTGCGCGCTTCAAAATGTGAACATTAATCTCTTGATGCAATACATATTACATGATATTAACTTTCCAAAATGACCATGCAAAGAAACAAAAATTTCAGTCTTACTAGCTCATCAACAACGGAGGCCAAGTTACACTTGAAGTGTTTGTGCAACACTGAAACTGATAGAACACAGACGATAAGTGCTGTGGCAAAAAGGGCTTTCTGGTTCCAAACAGTCATGATGATCTCTTCGGAATCTATAATTCGGTTGAGCCGTACCTGAAAGGCAATTTCACATTCTTTAATATTTTTAATTCTTTAATTGTAAAGAGAACTGTTTAAAGAATGAACCGACTTTTTATCACTTTACCGGCGTAATAACATCTGCTGATTGTTGGGAGAACACGATCGAGAAAAAGTTTGTAAATAACGAGCTGGAGGCGAGTGACTTGTAAAGTTTTCTCGAGTTCCTCTAGCACCCAAGTAGGTTTTAACGCCGGTAAACCAATAAAAAATGCAGAATGTTGCTTCTATAAAATAAACTTAAAATGTATCAATTTTTCATGAGTCTACCGGTGCAATTAACGATAGAATTTTGACCAATCGGAGCGCTGGGATAGAATGTAAAAAGAAGATGGCTGGTTTGTTTTGCTATCGCTGATAAATTTTCAAAAAATCAACGTAGAAACCGCGGAACTTGTGCCAAGTTGAGTAAAGCGTGACTATACCACTCGTTGTTATTCAACCAGTTAACAGGCATTTGTGGTTTGCTCATAACTGCAATTAGTGTAGCAATTAGAACGCTTGCTTTGTTCTGTTTTTGTTTTGGTTCGTTATTTGCATAATTTATTACCCTCTGAGAAAACGTGTACATGTCTTTGCATATCATACATGCGAACTGCGGCTGAAGAAACGAATATGGAAGCGATTCTCACAGTCATGACCACTACTTAAGTAGTAGTGAAAATAACTGCGAGGATTGCTTCCATATTCATGTCATTGCATAATTTCCTCGTCGACGGTCGACACAGAATTTGGCAAATTTAACAGCCAAAGTTTGTTCGGCGTTTCGGGATCTGCCTCGCTGTATTTGTGCACGCTTCTTGTCGAAATTTACTCTACTTCTAAGTCTTTACTTGATGTAGGTTTCATTCCATTTAATATAGATCGGGGTAAAATTTTCGCACAGCTCCATACTATTATAAAACAAATCTGTCTTCCCAATGGCAATGTATTGTTTTGGTCATGTTTTCTCTCTCCAAGAACTGAATGCAAAATGTAGTATATATGGAGATATGCGGAAATTTTACCTAGATCGGCGAAAATCACTTGATATAGTCACCGTTCTCGATGCTTACTGCTTTAGCTGTCAAATTCAAACACCTTTCCTGAAACAAACATTTAAGAGATGACTGCCTGAGGGCTTCGTCGTGCTCTTGAATTAAGGGACCTTTTGTGTTTTTCCAGAAGAATAATTTTCCATTCCTCAAAGGGTCTTAGAGTTTTTTCTTTGTCCCACGCTCATGCAAAGAGGAAAAACATCTTTCTCTATTTATTTACCGAGCTCAAAGCTTACCATCCTCCTTATTCTATTTCCAAACGAGGATAACAAATGTTTCAGGTGAATACATTATGTTCATTGACTTACCGTCACATAATGGGTTTTACTCCCTGTTCCGCCACAAGACTAGGGAAATTATTTCTATAAATTCTGAAGCAGATTCAAACACATTTTGTTACGATTCAATCACTTATTGCGTGCAAAATTTAAGCTGTTTGGTTGCATGATTGACTTACCTAGGTCCAAAGGGAATAAGAGGAATTTTAATTGTTAGTAACTACTTCAACAGGAGAAATAATTGAAAGCTCTTCTCATAAATCCTCCAAATTGATGAGATTACTTATAGAAAGTGGTACCTCTTTTTGACGCTGACTTTGTCAGAGAGGCCTTAAGTGAAAAATTTACTGCATGGAAGGCTAAGCAGCCAACTTTAACCCGGCTATTACTCATTAGGATTTTGTTCTATCTGCTAATTCGAGCGTATTATGTTCCCTCGAGGGCAAAAAAATCTTTAGGTCTTTTGACAATCCTTAATGAGAACCGATAATGTTTGCAAGCGCGACTACAACCTCGAGAAACTTCACCCCGGCATCCCGCAGCTGTCAGATTCTATGTAAACGCGGGCTATTTTTCCACCACGGCTAGGTGGCTTACTTCGCCCACTTGGGGTCCCCCACGTGCATGTAAACAGGCCCTAAGATTTCATGTTGTCCTCGAAACATTTTTCTAGAATGTCTCTGGAATGTCTTGAAAGCTTGCGATCTATTGTTCTATCCCACCAAAGGGGGTTACTTGGTTAAAATATCTTTGTTGCTGATGAGATATCATTATAGGCCTCAAAGGGGTCGAGTACGGATTTAGGCGTTAAAAAGTCAGTTAAACGTAAAAACTTTTCTTATCTGGCATGTGTCATTTTGAGAATGTCAAAATCTAAGACTGTTTTATATTTGTTACTTCTGCACATATAGTTGTACAATTGAACCTCTAGTTAGCGACCACTTTTTCAAAATACCGAAAAAGTTCCCAAGTCAAATCACTATAAATGAAACATCTCGTAGGCGACTACTTTTTGTAAGCGACCCAACCTCCCGTGAGTGACCACTTAGACTTGACATTTCAGGTGGTTGCTTACGAGAGATTTGACTGTACTATTACCGAAGTAGTTTGCTGTTTGCCATATGTTATTTTTTTTACATCCCTGAATTGACCTGAGAAGTAAACGGTCGGTTGTAAATGTAACTCTCCCTCCTCATGCTCTCTCTCCACAAGAATCACCTTTTAATCACGCTCGCTACCCGAGTTTCCGGCAAGACTGCCGAAATGGCTCTCGTAAATTGTCAAGGTGGCACAGCGTATGTCAGACTATGTTAATCCTATGGTGCACAATGATTTGATTTATGAGATTTGTTTGTTTTAGTTTTTTTCTCCTCATTTTATTCCTTTAACATGTGTTGCGCTTCTTTTTATCCCAAGACTTGTATTACTAATTGTTCAGTCGTAAATATGGTTTAGAACAAAGAAATTATTTGTCAACTTTTAGAAACAAATAAAACTAATTTTTAACATACTGTTCACCGTTAGTAGTAAAATGGCCAACATTATGACCGTTTGCTGTAAAGGTCATCACCTCATGGGTACTCTCATCCAAACGCTGCTTCTTACCCGCTAGTTCAGTAATTTTTTCAAATAAATCTTCTTGCCTTTCTCTTGATATTTTTCAGTGCCGTAAATAATAATCTTTATGAGCCTCTTACCTGCAACGGTAATCGCTCAGGGAATTACTTAACTTTACAATGGAATAATGACTCATCGCATACTTGACATATCTAAACTCGCTAGCCTTTGGCATGATAATCTCTGGGGAAATTACCTAACTTTAGTCAAGCACTTATTGTGTGCAAAGTTTAAGCTGCTTGGTTGTTGGATTGACTTACCTCGGTCCAAAGGGAATAAGAGGAATTTTAATTGTTCAGATTAAAGTGGAATTGTTGGTGAACCTAATTGAAAGGTCTTCTCATAAACCCGCCAAATTGATAAGATTTCTAATAGAAAGTAATACCTCTCTATGACGCTGACTTCGCCAGAGAGGCCTTAAGGGGAAAGCTAAGCAGCCAACTTTACCCCGATTATTAGTCAGTAGGATTTTGTTCTATCTGCTAACTCAAGCGTCTTTTATTCCCTCGAGGGCTAAAATTTCTGTAAGTCTCCTAATAATCCTTAATGAGAACCGATGATGTTTTGTGCATTACTGATAAGGTGGCAGATGAATCGGGAAACGTGTTAATTGACAGCCATTTAAGAGACGGCTAGTTTTATCAGTCAACTGATCAGTTGGGATACCCACTTGTTGGTAGCAAGGTAAAGATTATTATGCAATATATTATGCGTTTTGAAGGTAAGAGTTTTAAGACAGAAATCTCTGAGCCGACCGTTTCTAAGTCAAATCACTATAAATGAAACATCTCGCAAGCGACTACCTCTCGTAAGAGACCGCCTTTAGAGATGCTTGTTTACAATTTCGAATTGTTTTAAACCTCCCTTTGGCGACCACTTCACAAATAATAGGCTTTATCTCTTACGGGCGGAAAGTGGAAATTATTGCAAATGTCACGAGCCAAGTTTCTTTCACGTGAATTGTCCCAAACGCTGTATTAAGTAATTCGTGAGATACAAAACAATCGCCATAGATCCTTATATTTTTTTCCCTTGAATAAGCCGCTAAAAGTTATCATTACAGGTTTTGATAGGAGCTGTGGCCTGACTTCTGGTTGGCGACCACCTCCCTTAAGAGACCACCTCCCGAAAGTCAGCACTTAACTTAACATTTCAGGTGTCGCTGACGAGAAGTTTGACTGTATTATTACTAAAGCAGTATGCTATTTGCTATATGTTTTTTTTTCATACCCCTGGATTGACCTGAGAAGAAAACGGTCGGTCGTAAATGTGGTTTAAAACAAAGAAAATTAATTTTCAACGTTTTCAAACAAATAAAACTGATTTTTAACATTCTTTTTACCGTAAGTCGTAAAAGGGCCAAAATTAAAACCGTTAGCTGTAAAAGTCATCAGCTGATTGGCACTTTCATCCTAACACTGCTTCTTACCCGCTGGTTAATTTTTCAAATAAACTTGTTGCCTTTCTCTCGATCCTTCTCAGTGCCATAAATAATATTCTTAATGAGCCTCTTACGCTACTATTTTATTCCAAGACGTAATACCAATTGGCAATCATGATAATACTGAAGTCTAGGAGTGAAGAACTTTTAACATGACTCTTGGCCAGTCTCCTTCAGCTGACAGTTAATTACCGTATTTCCTTTTGATTCTCCCAAGAAAACTTTTATTCTATTTATTTGCCTACCCTCGGCTGTTTAAGTGAGTGTCACACGGGTATTCAGCCTCTAAAAGAGCAATGTTTTTGTCGATAATAGTGGCTTGTATGCAAATTGACTATGCTTGATAAATCGAATTACATACCTTCGTGTTAACACCTAACACAAGAAGGCGCAAATGGAGAAGTAGAGAATTTGGTGTATAAAGAAAGTCTCAGAAATGTTGGCGTGTTAATAACCAGTTAACCTAATAATCCTTAATGAGAACCGATGATGTTTTGTGCATCACTGATGAAGCAGCAGATAAATCGGGAAAGGTGTTACTTGACAGCCATGCATAGACGAGACGGCTAGTTTTATCAGTCAACTGATCAGTTGGGATACCCACTTGTTGGTAGGAAGGTAAAATTATTCTGCGTTTTGAAGGTAAGAGTATATAGACAGAAATCTCTGAGCCGACCGCTCTCAATGACGTAACACGTACTGATCAGAAACAGTTGGGCTGGCGTTTTGTGTTTACGTTTAAAAAGTGATTATACACCTTCCGCTGTTTCTCAAATAATCTCAAAAACCGGTTTTCAACGATATTTCACTACCATTACTTGACTTAATCTTTCACAAAACTAAAGAATAATGTTTTAGCTGGAGAATGAGCGAAACCATTTTTCTTTTCACAAAATTTGGCCTACGACCGTCTTCAGTAACCTTTTTTGAGTAACAAGATTGAAAGTGTTCTTCATGAAGGCGCGCCGGTTTATTAAGGGCGTGATACTGAGCCCACATCAATAAAGAAACAGTTATCTCCTATCCACCTCTCCAACTAAAGTGAAACATCGCAAAACTTTCCTACATCAGCTAACGCGGTCGTTCGTGACCATAAGTGAGTTCATCACCCCCTATAATTACTGTGTTCCACTCGCTATTAACATGTGCTGTCTAAAGTGTTTGCTTCTTCGGCTCAAGAATTGCCATTGCACCCTCCATCCAGGCAACACTATTAAGAGTATCTTTAGGTTTTTCTTCAACATTGTTAAGCCCATGAAAGAATCCATGGGAGAACACAAAACAACTGTCGGTACAGGAGCAGCGCTTTTACCAAGCCTCTCAATCCTTATTGGGAGAAGTAGTTTTGGCTTCTCTCTTTTTTTTCGATATAGAAATGTGGACATTCAAAGAGTTTAGCTCAGTACGTAGAATGACTGTTACCAAGTTTGGAAGAGAGCACTGTTTTCATATTTCCACGTTAAAACGCCTTTCTTAGTTAGTTATTTTATAATCGGCATTGAATAATTCTCGGAAAGGCTCGCGCCATCCTGTCTGAGCGAGTCAGTCAGAGTCTTCAATGAGGCGGGTGTTCACGATCTTCTCATGAATAATTACGTTCTTTCAAGAGATTTCAAACAGTTTACATTCTCTTGGTTCTTTGCAGAAACGAATATTAACATGGGACGTGTTACAGTCATTTTTCTCGTGGTTTGCCTAATTGCTGCTT